GGAGATGTTTTGGCCTATTACTGTTCATTGAGTCTGTTACTGTTCAATTAAGTGGATAAATGGGCTGGGTGCTGGCGCAAAGTGGATAGGGGTGGAGTTACTCTGATGACTCGAGCAACTCCAAGCTTAAACTTGGATACTTTTCTAATTTTTTGCTAGAATTAAGAGTTGTGCAGTGCCTTTATCTCAATATTTCGACATAAGTTAGCAAATACAAATGGCTAATATTTGAAAGAAACTTTGAAATGAACAACCAATTGAAATCTTTCATGAATCATGCACATGCATTTGTATGACTAAATAAGCTATTTCAATGCATCTTTCATTTTAACTCAATTCCTAATATTCCTACAATTAATGTCATAGGTAACATCTAATAGATTAGCGTCAAGTATTTAAGGTGTAAAAAAAAATACATGGGTCAAAATACTTATGATGGTAATTTGGTTGTTCATGTCCTAATGGTCAAGAAATAATTAACTCTAATTCCATTTCTAAAATAATCTTGAGTACGAGCTCTTATAAGATATAGGTTTTTTTTTTAACTACACCCTCTGAAACTCTATTTTGATCTCACTTTGCCTTCTGTAACTCAAAAGTCACCACTTTGACTTGTGAACTCTCTCCTCCTTGAAACTTATAGTCGCCTTCTAAAACATATGTGGGACATAACACCTAATAAGACTATGCCACATGTACAGTAAATTTGATTCCAAATCTCCATTATGCAACAATCAGAGAATATTAAGTTTAAAATAAATTGAAAAAGATGAAAAAAAGAAAAGAGAAAGAATTGATTAGCCGCAATTGAATCAAACCACATAAGAAATAAACATATCTAATGCAATGTGTAGCTAATTTGAGTTTTATAGAGACGAATTTCAAGTTTCAAGGGGCAAAATGGGATCAAAATTGAGTTCTAGGGGCAAAGTGAAGCAAACTTTGAGTTTTAGGGGATAGAGTGGTGACTTTTGAATTACAAGAACTAAAGTGAGATTAAAATCGAGTTCCAGGAGGCGTAGCTAAAAATAAGCCTAAGATATATCGCTTAGTCCTATGACCATTTTGGAGAATAATGGTGTCAGATCTTAAATTTGGGGGATTTTTTAGTTATTTCACAAAAGCCACAATTTCAACATACATATGTATCACAATTAAATAAATTAAAACTTACTAAAAAAATAAATTAAGAGACAAAACACATACATTTCATTTGAGAGAAAATTGTAACAATAGTCCCTCAACTTTAACCTAATTGGAGTAATGGTTGCTCAACTAAAATTCATGACCATTGGTCCCTTAACTCTTCAAAATGTGCATATATGGTCATTTTCATCAACTCCGTTAGAACTCTCATCAAAATGAGTCATGTGTCATACAAGTGAGGCTAAATCAAGGGACAAATATAAAAAACAAAATGAGAAAAATTGTATCAATGGTCCCTCAACTTTAACCCAATTGGAGCAATGATCCCTCAACTTTAAACTAATTGTAGCAATTGTCTTTCCAACATGACTAATTTTGACAAAATTCTGACTGAGTTGACGAAAAGAACCATAGTTTCACGTTTGATAAGTTGAGGGACCAATAGTCATGAATTTTTAGTTGAGGGACCATTGCTCCAATTGGGTTAAAATTGAAGGAACATTGCTACAATTTTCTCTTTCTTTAATTTTCTCCAATCCAATCACAAACCTACAACAAACAAAATTGATTAGTCACACAATTAAACAAAAAGAATATTTAACAAAGAAAAAAAACTAACCTTAAATGAATCGGGAGCGTGAGAGATGAGGGAGATATGGAGGGAGATATGGGTATGAGTGTGAGAGAAAAAGAATGAGAGAGAGAGAGAGATTTTTTTTGCAGAGGGGAGTAGCGCCGCACGGGGGAAGGAAGAAGAAAGAAAAAGGAATGATAAAGAAGAAGGCACAACCTTTTTAATGAATAGGGTTTTGCCCGATGAACCATTTCATCGGGCAAATATAAGCAAGACATCGAGCAAAAGGTTTGGTTGTGGTATTTTTTGACAGGTCATTGTTGACCTTTGCCCGACTAATTATATCGTGGCCTTCAAAATATTTTCGTTGCGCAAAACCTTCAGCAAAATTCTAAATGTTGACCAACTTTGCCTAGCCAACACATATTTTTGTTAAATAAACTAATTTGACCCCATAAATATGTTCATTGGAAAAAAAATTAGTAGCGCAAATAGTATTTTCTGGTAAAGTCTCTTCTTGAAAGTGCTTGAGATGTACAAAAATTTTTGGGTTTAGTAAAGGCATAGAAACAACTGATTTGTATTACCCAATGAAAAAGAACCACGATGTCCATGGTCTTCCCACCTTTGCGCCTGATACGTGGAATTTGTTGGGACATTTTCTTTGTTGATGAGGATGATGAGATTGGACAAAAATTTGAAGATTTCTTGGTCATCTGATTTAAAGTCCAAAACTCTTTCTCATAAACTAAAATGGACAAAACCCAATATAGGGGCCGGCAAACGGACCTTGGACCCGCGGGTCGGGATAGGTCCAAGCATGCGGTTCGGGATGAGTCTAAAAATTCTAAACACAAAACGGCCCGGGCAGAACGTGTGTCCAAAAATCGTCGACCGTTGCCACCAATCCAACATCGTCAATACTAGGGCTGGGCCAGGCTCAATTTTGAAAGGACCAGACTGAACCTGGGCTTAAAAGAAACAGAGCAGGTCGGGTCGGGTACAAGAAATTCTAATACAGGAACCAGACCTAACCCGACCCATTTCCCCTCTTTTTTTTTCTTTTTTTTTCTTTTCTTTTCCTCTTCTTCTTTAGCTTTCTCGAATTCTGATTGTTCCAGGAGATGTTGGACCACCACGTTCTCCTACGGCGAGAGCGAGATCAATATCGGCGACCTCATCATTTACCCAAAGCTTGATTTCCTGCGGTTCCTATCGTTTTTGAGCCACAAGATAGGAATCTTGTCGAGGCAGTTCACTGTTTTCCTATCCTCGCCGGAGACCCGCCAACGAATCCCCATCACTAGCAAGGTCAACTTGAGCGCGATTTCCCACACTGAACCGCCACCTTTACTCCGCAACACCTTTGCACCTTAAGACTACCGCTGCCTAACCCGTGTGTGTCCAGATTCGACTGAGACCTTGACCAACCACCATCTCGCGCCTGTCTTGAACCTCTGTTGTTGCTTGCTGCAGGGTCCTGATGAACCTCCTCCCAGATCGTCATCACATAGTGCCTGTTTGAAGCCTGTATTCCACACTTGTTGCTCCCTTCCGCTGCATCTTTTCCGTTCAGCCCAGAACTTGCATCGACGAACACCGCGCCAAGTGGATTGTGGGATTTAATCAAAGGTGGAGATTAAATCTCCACATATTGGACGGTAGATACGGTCCAGGCCGAGGGCCCGTTTTCTTAGCAATTTGGACCCGCCCCACCCCGTTTTAGATTTATACAAATTAGACCCACCCCGTACTAGCCTCGACCCACTTGTACCCACTGGTCCAAGATCCGTTTGCCCACCCCTAGTCAATACCATCGTGCTGCAGTTCCTCACTGAGCATCTCCACCCATCTACGGTCGAGATTGTCCCGTATTTCACTGATAGCTCCAGGAACCGGAGCCGAATCGATTATAGTACAGGGTACGACATCAATCTTCTTCTTCAATTCTGCATATTGGCTCTATGGTCTAGAATTAAAGAAGAAGATTGGTCCAGAGCACAAAGGCATAAAATTCTGTACAAGCTTGGATGGAAAGCCAAGGTTCCAAATACCCACTGGAAAAGCCAAGATTCCAAATACCCACTGGAGAAGAAGCTTGGATGGAAAGCCAAGATTCCAAATACCCACCGGAGAAGAAGCTTGGATGGAAAGCCAAGATTCCAAATACCCACCGGAGAAGAAGCTTGGAAGGAAAAGCCAGGCAAAGCACACCTTGTCCTTGATCAACATTGTCAAAGCTTAAAACAGAATACACAAAAACATCCATAGCCGAATCGATTATGGTACAGGGCACATGCATAAAATTCTGCAAATTGGCTCTACTGTCTGGCAAGAATCGGGTGTTTAAAGAAGATTAGAAAAAACCAAGACTCGCCCCGTTTCATTTACAAACGGTCCGGTCCGGTCCCTCTAACTTTGTGCCCAGCCTGGCGCATGCCCACCCTTAACCAAATAAATTGCTACCACTCAAATGAGGAAATAAGCAGAAAATATAGGGCCGTTTACACAGGTAGGGAGGGGCAGCAGCCATGGCATGCAGTGGGAGTGAGGGGTGGAGCTTTGCCGTGGAAGGAAGTGCTTGCTAGGCACTGTTTGTAGGGTCCGTCAAAGGAGAAATTTTTCAGCACAATGTCATTACATATATAATTAGGAAGAAGTTTAATTATTCAAATGTTCAATTACTTGTATCATATCATTTAAAATCTAGATGATAGCTTAATAAAAAATAAAGCATGGGTACCATTTAATTTGAAAACTGGCATCCACCAATAAAGATTTTTTTGAAACGGTATGCACCAATAACGATGGACAACGATTAAGCTGTAAAGTCACTCCAGTCCAACCATTGCAGTCTTTGACTCTTTGCAGAAGTGTAGCATGGATTTGGATAAGAAGATCCTCCTGATCCATCATCGTGAACCGTTGAATTTTTATCCAATGGTTATAAACAGGAGGATCTTTTTAAAGTTATAATAATTGCAACCGTCTATGATGATGGGTCAGGAGGTTCCTCTCCATTAGCTCAGGAGAGGATCCAAATCCGTGTGGCATTGCATTGGATTCCTGCTTTATTAATTATCTCATATTTTATTCCTTGTTTACTCTTTACTCTTAAAGAGATTTTTTAGTGTGATTGCGCAAGAGAAGAGATGTTACACTACGTGTTATTGTATAAATAGTGGGATATGTGTGTTAAAAATTTAATAACTTAAAAAATAAAATTTCCCACCACTTACATAAAATCATATGGTGTACCACCCGCGTTCCAGAATGAAAATTTTCTCACTCTTCAGCCTCTCAAATCTCATCCTTTGTTCCTTTTCATTTAAATTCCCATCATCCGCTCAAAGATCAGCAAGTTCATTTCTGATTATACTTGTATTAGGCCAAAAGCTCCCCTTGTCTACGTACGAAATATCAAAAAATGGATCCCTCCCATTCAACTGATCAGACCGAGAGTGCTAGTAGTACTGATCACTTAGCAACAGTTTTGATAGGTGGCATGGAACTTGATGTATTTCATGCTGCAAAACAAGGCAACCTTGAGGCCCTCCGGGATCATGCAGAACATCTTGACCTAAAACTGACTGCAACAAATAACACTGTCCTTCATATTTATATAGCGTGCAGCCCGACATCTGCACAAGAAGAAGTGGAGTCAACCGGGATTGTGGAGGATATCCTTCAAATGTGTCCCGCACTACTATTGCTACACAATAAGAGTGGTGAGACTGCCTTACACATTGCGGCGAGACGCGGGCTAGCAGGTATAGTTGGAGTTCTTATCGACCAGGCTGCAAAAGTTCGTCACCCTGGCGACCTTGAGCAAGGTCGAGTCTTAACAGAAGAAGAAGCCTGCTTGCAGAAGCAGATGCTCATTAGGAAAACCAACAACAACAAGAATACAGCGTTGCACGAAGCAGTGCGTTTTTGTCAACCTTCGGTGGTGGAGATATTGACCAAAGAAGACCCCGAGTTTTCCTACGCTGCTAATGATCTAGGCGAAACTCCCCTTTATTTAGCTGTTGAGAGGGGCTATCTTCCTTTGGTTTCTAAAATGCTCAGCAATTGCAATGTTCCAACGTACATTGGCCCAAACGGTAGAACGGCGTTGCACGCTGCAGTGATTCGCAAGGATGAAGGTACATGTGCAAACAAAACTATTTGTTTCCTTTTCCTCCTATTTCCATGACATAAACCCACCACATAAAACTTTGGTTCCGGTATCAAGTTGATCAAGTTTTTCCCTTGAAACTCATATTCTATAAACTTTTCGTCCTAAAAATGCCCCTCATTATTTTAAAACAAATTTGGTGGAATTTATCACAAATCTGGTAGTTTTCATTAATGGTGTTTAAATTTTCTAATTGATTGGTATGTATAATCTCACCCCGTGGGATGATAGTCTAGTTTTTTCCACTTTTCTTTTATCAAAATTTCAAATTTTATAATTAATTTTTTATATACAATGCTACATGTTGCTACTCTTTTTACATGTTCTTGCTCTTGACATATGTTTGTGTTTGAAAATTAATTTACTTGTATTTTCTTGCTCGTTAGGTGCATTAATATGTAGGTAAATTAATTGAAAAAAAAAATTTGAATTGAAGGGCACATCCTAAGGGGGTTAAGGGGACACGAGCGTACAAGGGCGAGCAACAAGGAACTGAAAAAAAAAATTGAATTGAAGGGCACATCCTACATAGATATACGTGTTTTTAATTTTATCTATATTTGTTTTTGTTTTATGTTTATGCGTAAGGAATGATGGAGGAACTAATAAGAGCCGATAGGACTTTGAGCAAAGCAGCAGACGAACTAGGATGTACTCCGCTACACCTTGCTGCACGTTTTGGTCCCCTTTCAATTGTTAAGCAACTGCTTGCAAATGATAGATCTATTGCTTACATTGCTGACAAGGATGGCGCTACAGCTCTTCACTTTGCGGCTTCCGAAGGCAATCTAGATGTAATGAGAGTGCTTATTTCTTATTGCCCTGATTGTTGCGAACTGGTCGACAACAAATTTCAGAATGCTCTTCACTATGCCACAAGGAACGGTGGATACCAAATAGTAGGATACGTTTTAGCAGATGCATGGCTTAGCAACATCCTGTTAAATGCCATGGATATTGACGGGAACACACCCCTTGCTCATTCTCCCTACAGCATGCTGTTTACTGAGTGTGTATATGATGCTAAAGTTGATATAATGGCATTCAACAAGGAAAATTTAAACGTTTTAGACATCATTCTAGCTAACGAGGACAAGATATCATTACTGCAGGTACGTATCACCTTCTGATTAAATTGCTTGTCTGTGTCAACTGTGGGTAATATTTTTCTTAGACAAGTGTCACTTATTCGTACAATTATGAACAATGAGGGTATCCTTTGATTTGTTTGCGAAGATAATAATATTATACTCGTTTGACTTTGCAGAAAGATTTGAAAAAACCAATGCAACGGAGGGGTATTAAACCAAGTCTTAGAATTAAAAACCCAAAAGGCAATAACGACAATAAGGTGGAGGAAAATCAAATAAGCAAGGACATTGGAAAAGGTTTACAGAAAGCAAAGGAAACTCATCTGGTAGTGGCTACATTGATAGCAACTGTAACCTTCGCAGCAGGTTTTACCATGCCCGGTGGATACCAAAGTGAAAAAGGACCGAACCAGGGTTCCGTCTTTCTGTCAAGAAACGCAGCGTTCAAAGCATTTGTTATAACTGATACAATAGCCATGGCCATGTCTAGTTGTTCTGTCCTAGTGCTCCTTTATTCCTCAATTCACACAAAGGCAAATTTCAAGAACCAGATATTTGGGACGTTTCACTTGGCAGTGTCTTTGACAATGTGGGCTTTGGTTGCAATGGTTGTTTCATTCATTACCGGCATATAAGCGGTCTTGGGTGGTCTTTCTCCAGGACTTGCCGTTGCAGCTTGTGTGCTTGGCTGCATTTTCTTCTTTGTCTTTGCAAATTCTCTTCTTTCTGCTGAAAGAAAATTACTAAAGGCGCCACATTTCCTGGACGACATGGTTCGCGACTTTTGGGTGCTGATACTTTGCTCGTTATTTGCTATTAGCGTTAAAGTGTCGGAGATGGTCGCTTCATCACTAATAGCATCAATTCTGTCTCCAGTTGTGCAATTAATAAGCGTGGGGCTTTTCTGCAAAAGACCTCAATGCAATTAAAAGTGCAACTATTTAATATAAATTGGGATTTGTTTTGTAAGGTTGCCGAGGAGAGACTTTTTTCTTTATTCAACAGTTAGTTCATTAGTGGGTTTCTTGATGGAGAATTAACCAAATTTCAGCTGTTGAATAGAGTCATGAATAAAGATTAATAATGATAGAAAAGTTTGTACGAATATGAGCATGATAGTAAGTTGATTTCACATTTATTATGATTCAAAATGGTATAGAAAGACTTATGCATGGTAGGAGGATTACATGAATTGCTAAGGAAATAGGATTGAAACTGCAGTGCGGTCCTATCATGTCAATTAGCATTCGACAAGAATTTCGTTTCCTAAATGGATTCTGATAAGTCATTCATTGTGTTAGAATGACAGTTAATAGAATTGCTATTAACTGATACTCAATCTTTTGAATGTTGAGTTTGGCCTAAACGAGTGGAAGCATTCAATTTTCGATTTTATCTGCAGTATATGAAAGTTGTGCAGATAACAGAGCTCATATTTAAGTAGGAGAATGTTAGAATATGAGTGTATGTTATAGCTGACTATTTTGATGCAAATTTGTATGGAAAAGTCTTATAAGAAAGAGGTTTTTGAATTATTCTGGACGATGTAGGATTGAAACACAGTTTCCATCCTGGTTTATGCGCTCATTGTTAGATAATGATTTCTTGACAATGTTCCACTTGGAATATAATAGGAGAAACGAGTTAATTAAATGTGTATATATAGTAGACCTTTGTGCTTGCAAAACATACGCTCTATAGTGAATCAAATACCTACGGTTGATTTAAGCATTGAAAGCTTTCTCGGAGAGGAGAAGGTTTGCTATAGAAGATTGGTGGCTTCATCATCTTCGATCTTTATTGGGAAAGATGCATTATTTTGAGGTCTTCCATAACTTCTTTTCGACTGCTTTTTACATGTGATTAGCTTGGTTCTTGTGTTTATCAAATTGCAGTTTTGATACTTGTATGAATTGTGGTTCATGAGTTTAAATAGTTAACTTATTTGATTCATTATTAATTTACCTACAAAATATATATTATTTGCTAATCATAAATTTACATATAGGGTAAATTAATTACATATAATATTTTTTAACATATATGTTAGTAATGTGAATATATATATTTCAACGTATAGTATATATACTAGATGAAAACCCTAAACCTCGAAGACCAAGATTTCCTAAAACGAAAAATCGAATTAGATGGAACAGCCACATACAAATCATCGAAAAAAATAAGAAAAGATTTGAAAGAAAAAACTCACAGACCTTAATCAGGGGTTTGCAAGGTTGTACAAAAAACCCCTACAATTCGCACACAAATTTTCCTGAAACAAAAAAACCCAATCAGATTAAACAACCACACTGAAAACACAAATTTTCTTCCCAATCAGAGAAAAGATAAAAAGATAAAAAATAAAAAATAAAAAAAGCAGAGAAACCACCTGAAACAGTACAATCAGTCGGAAAAAGAAACTCTTCACACAACACACGATCGACGATCGACGCGGCGAGAGAAGTAGGGAAACACGAAGGGTTGACGTGGGGAGAAAAGCACAGAGAGGAAAGAAAGGAAAAACCGACGGAAGAAAATGGAAGAGCCTTTGAGCACCTTCCTCACCAAAAACGAAAAGGAACGGTGGAGAACTCTTCGAATCAGACTAACGTGTCAACATCGCTTAGAAGCAAACAGGCGGGCACGCACAGCACCAATGATGAAGGGCAAAATGGCCAATTTACTGCATAATCCCACTAAAGCCGAAAAACCATGAAGAAATTGAGGGACAAAACTAGAACGCCACTATTAATGAACAGTGCCAATCCGTTGAGATTTAGTATATATAGAATATATAAAACTTATAGTAGTACTATATACTTTTGAACGTGTGTATATGTGTGTGTGTGTGGATATATACATATATATGTTAGGGGTAATAGTATGTGCGATAATTATTTGTTCATTATAATTGAGGTGAGTAATAATGTTTATTGATTTGATTTGAATATTGTGGCACAAGTTGTAAATATTTTGTAATAATAGGTCAATTACTTTTCTACTTGGCAGTCATTTTCAAATTTGGGTTTGTCGACCCTAAAAATTACAAACCTACGTGGCGTGCATGCCGAGTAACTAATGAGCTAACTACATCCTTCGGTTGATGCGGGGCATGCCAACTCGTCAACCGAGCTCGGTCGAGGAGTAAAATTTGTTGATGTTGCGTTGAGCGCACTGCTAACTTCTTGATCTTGCGATTGTGGCCGAGGAAGAAACAAGTCTCGACCTTCAGGTTCTTGAGCCTGAAGACAAGGCTGCTAGTTCTGCAAAGTTCACGAATAGTCGGCGCCGGATTTGGTCACAGTGATTATATTCGTAAGAGTATAAGCACGTCGAATCGACACCAGACTATATGGACACAAGTGCTCAAAGGAGATGTATGTCTTGATGGTAAATGTGGTTCGGCCGTCAGAATACCAAACTCTGAAACTCACTCGTGAGTATCCAATCATAAAATCACTCGGCGTTCAATATGCCGAATGTCGTAACTCCTAACACCTTACTTCGCCCAGAAGGCTAATAAGATGACCTCTACCAATAAGGATTTGGAAACCCTTCTCAACCGAGACTTAGATAGGTAACCAGTCGGCCTCGATGCAGTGTTATTTATCCAAACTAAAGGTGCTCCTTGGTCGGGTGATTCTACGACGACAGTGCTGTTTATCCAAACTGAAGATGTTCGTCGGTTGCCTTCACAGTGCTGTTTATCCAAATTGAAGATGTGTCAGCGGAAAAAGAAAATAATAAATCTCAAGATGTTTAAGAGGTTTGGGTAGGGCAGTTGTGTGTTAAATTGGAGAGACCTTGAATGATGCACTTTGCTATTTATTTATAGCAACAAATCCTCCTTAAGATCGAGTTGAAACCATAGTCGGACTAGGACTTCTTATTCTGATCCAACCTTATCTCGATCAATCCTACTCCTATTAGGACTTTGAACTCTCCCTCTTTTAAGGCCGTATTCATTTTCGGCCAAGAATCTTCATTGTATTAGGACCCCTTATCGTATTAGGACTTCGACCTATCCGCTCTTATCCAAATCACTTCATCTTGCAATAGGACTCGACCACCCTAACTGAGCGACTTAAGACTACCAGACAGCCTATAGTACATTTAAAAAAGCTTTGGGCCGAACACAAACCTACGCTCAACCCAATAATATTATTTTGGGCCCAAACATTGCCCCCTCGCTTCTGAAGTCTTCGGCCTAGAATTCCCTAGCCGACTTTCGACCTTGAAGAAGTGAAATTAAACCCTACAAGATAACTACAAGATAATGAAAAGTCTCAAACATCCTATCCATCAAGCGCATTTATGAAGCACGATCGCACGACCTGAATTCCCCTGCACGTCTTGCCGCGTGTCAATCCTCTGGCTAACCTAGCAGCCCTTAATCATGACCATCGAAAACACGCGCCAACCGAAACGTCTCTTTCGTATTAATGCATTAAATCTGCCGCAACACGCAATCGTGCGTCCTCAAACCACGAAAACCTCGATCTTATCCCCTAGATTCCCTAGATATCCATAATGATTAGTGATTTCCCGGTCGATCTCGCCCTAAAATTTACAAATCAAATGCTTTCTGAAAATCAAACGTTTAACCTTCTTCTTGAAATGCCTATAAATACCTGAATCCCTTCCATTGGTATTTTACGCTTCCAAAAACCTTGAAAATCCTCTCGCCATCTTGTCTGCAAAATTCCAGAAAACCCAGAAATCCTTCAAAATTCTCCACAATGGCTTCCAACACTTTGATTTCCAAGCTCTCCGACGAATGTGCCAAGTGCTGGGACTTTATTGACTGAAGCGCCATCAAAAACCTGCAATTTGAAGGTGACTCAAGCCTTTCCCATCAGATCTTGGGACCACTCTTTGAAGACAACATCCCAGCGTCCATTACCAACCTCATCAAAGATCACTGCCTAGAACCTTTGCTTCAAGGTTTTGATTGGTCGAAGTAGGAATCAACTAAACCCTAAGGAGCTTGGCCTTCAACCACCGCGACCTGGGTAGCATGGGTCGAAAGGATGAAGAAGTTCTTTAATAAAGAATTTAGGGTTCTCGGTATTTATGACGCCATCAGGCTCTTGACCATCAAGATCGTCATAGACAAAGAGTTTCTTATGGCAGCTCTAAGCTTTTGGTGCTCGACCACCAATATTATGGTCTTTCCGCTCGACCCCATTAGTCCCACCATTCTGCCCCCATCAGTCCCACCATTCTGGATATCTCAGCTATTCTCGAGACCTCCCCTTCGGGCCTCTCGATTAACGTCTCCTTCTCTGGATGTCCATCCAACCTCGACCTCAAGATGTTCTTCGACGAACGTGTTGTCAAGTCATTGAGGAGGAAAAATCAAGAGCCCATAAAAGAATAAGTTCAGAAATTGCACAAGAACTTCTTCAACTACAACACTCTAATTCAACATTTCGCTGGCTGAGGTGAAGAAAACCTCAGGAAGGAGGAACACGAAGCCTTCTTCTTCAATTGGTACAACAAATGAATTTGTTGTACCAAATCAAATAAATGTTTGGTCGAGAACATGCCGGTCGCTGAAGCATTAGCTAGTGGTCATGTCCTGGCTCATAGCTTGGCTGTCCTTACCCAACTTACTCGTTGTCTGGCCGAGGCGACGATCAACAAGCTTGACCCACACCAGATCGGCCCACTCTAGGTTCTTCAACTCTGACTGCAAGTCTATTTCACCACTCTCATGCCAGAAATCCCCAACTTCATACCCACTGAAGCATTGGGTCTTCAATTAGGCTATAGACCCGCTCATTCTCATTCGGCCGAAGAAGTCTTTAAATACTTTTTCGGCCTAGAAAACCTTTCTGATGATGAGTTTTTGATCTACCGTCATCAAGAGTACCCCCTTCTATCAAGCTCCCATCCTCGGCATAGGATGAAGTCGAAGACGCTGACCTCCGAAAGAGCGGGGGATCGTTTGTTCTAACTCACGACCTCCCTTTAGGCTATGATGCCAAACGTGCAAGCTGGGAAATCTACCAACCCCACTTCACTGCGCGGCAACTTGGTTACCTTCAAGGCTGCCCACTGCCTCTACTAACCTCCCGTTCTCTCTTGAGCCAAGGACGCATTTCTAGTTCTTCGAAAAAAGAATGCAGGAAGGCTGAACAAGAATTTCAAGAAAGGTGCAAGAAATTCGGCCTTCAGTCAAACGTCCCTGGGACTCTCAATACTGCCACATTCGTTGACTGGTGGGCCACGTATACTCAAGACTTTTGCGACGCGCCTGTCAAAAATGTTATCGAGAAAATATTCAGCGACCGCCCGAAGAAGACTTCCACCTCTACACCTAAAGAAACGGCTCAAGGTATTTGTCTGTCTACGACTCTACCTTCATTCTTCAAATACTTAACTCAACTTTGTTGACTTGCTTTGGTTTTCTTAGGCGGTCAAGCGCTAAAAAAAGACAGATATGATTGTCACGGCCATGGCTAAGAAGAAGTCGGTCCCTTCTTCCAAGAAGGCCAAAGCCGCCGCGCAAGCCTTGCTGAGCAAATGGCCTCGCCAGGAAACCGAGACGGCAGGTGAAGCTCCTCGACCCCCCAAAACGCATTAAGAAATTGGCGAAGAAGGGAGAACAGGTGATTCACGTTATCTCCAGCAGACTACGGGAGCGACCGATCTTAGTGTCTCTCCTCCCGCTCCGGTCGTCCAGGCCTCGACGGAAAAATGGTAGAACGGCGTTGCACGCTGCAGTGATTCGCAAGGATAAAGGTATATGTGCATACAAAAGTAAATTTGTTTCCTTGCTCTTTAGGTGCAATAATATGTAGGTAAATTAATTGAAAAAAAAAATGAATTGAAGGGCACATCCAACATACATATACATGTTTTTAATTTTATCTATATTCGTTTTTGTTTTATGGTTATGCATAAGTAATAACGGAGGAACTACTAAGAGCCGATAGGACTCTGAGCAAAGCAGCAGACGAACTAGGATGTACTCCGCTACACCTTGCTGCACGTTGTGGTTCCGTTTCAATTGTTAAACAACTGCTTGAAATTGATAGATCTACTGCTTACATTGCTGACAAAGATGGCGCGACAGCTCTTCACTTTGCAACGTCCGAAGGCAATCGAGATGTAATGAAAGAGCTTATTTCTCAATGCCCTGATTGTTGCGAACAGGTCGACAACAAATTTCAGAATGCTCTTTACTACGCCATACGGAACAAACAAAACCAAATAGTAGAATATGTTTTTGCAGATGCATGGCTTAGAAACATCCTGTTCAATGGCATGGATGTTGATGGGAACACACCCATCCATCACCTAGCTACTCATTCTCCCAAAAGCATAGAATTACTAGCTGCTCATAAAGTTGATTGGATGGCATTCAACAAGCAAAACTTAAACGCTTTTGACATCCTTCTAACTCACGATGATGATATAAGCACATTATTAGCGCGGGTACGTATCACCTTGTGATCATTAAATTGCTTGAATTTGTTTGCCAAGATAATAATAATATTATAGTCCTTCTCTGGCTTTGCAGGAATTGTATGTAAAAGTACTTCAAGTGACGGGTGTTAGACCAAGTCATGGAATTGAAAATCCAAAAGATAGTAGTGGGAATAAGGTGGTGGAATCTCAAAGAAGCAAGGACATGGAAGAAAGTTTACAGAAATCAAAAGATACTCATCTGGTAGTGGCTACATTGATAGCAACTGTAACCTTCGCCGCAGGTTTTACCATGCCTGGCAGATACCAAAGCGAAAAAGGACCAGACCAGGGTTACCCCCTTCTGTCAAGAAACACAGCGTTCAAAGCATTTGTTCTAACTGATACACTAGCCATGGCCATGTCAAGTTGTTCTGTCCTAGTGCTCCTTTACTCCTCAATTCACACAAAGAGGAATTACAAGGGGACGTTTCAATTGGCAGTGTGTACGACAATTTGGGCTTTGGTTGCAATGGTTGTTGCATTCATTTCCGGCACATATGCAGCACTGGGTGGTCATTCTTCAGGGATTACCATTGCAGGTTGTGTGCTTGGCTGCATTTTCTTCTCCGTCGTTGCAAATTCTCTTCTTTCTATTGAAAGAAAAATACTTGATGCTCCACATTTCCTGGACGACATGGTTGGCGACTTTAAGGTGCTGACAAGATACTCGTGTAATGTTATAATTGGCTCAATAATAGGTTTCATCAAGAAGCAGAATAAGAGTCAGTAATAAGAATTAATAATTATAGAAAAGCTTGTAAGAAAATGGCGTGGGGCTCAAGTAATTAAGAGTGCTCAGGTAAATTGTACTAGAGAATAAATAATATTTGCAGCACCTTTCTTCTCGTTTGTTGGGAGTTTGAGTTCGCCTTGAAGTCTTGTGCTCCAAGTATCATATTTCTTGATTTTCTCTAGGATCCACTATACCTCCACCACAGGCATGGTAGTCCGGAGATCGCATAGGCATTTGATTACCAAACACAAAAGGCATCACAGTATTTTGCTGGATTTTCCCTATGTTAAATAAAATCAAATAATATATATATTCAAAGAATGAGATTTATAAGAGGTTAGTTTTTTTACATAACAAGAAACTCAATTTACAAATTAAATGAGAAGGTAACAATCCTAAGTTCATGGCTAAAGTTCGTGAAGTAATAGTCAAAACAAAATGACGTTAACATGTGTATGAAAACTAGACAGTACAGAATCATCCAACCTCTAGAACTCGGCAAGTCGACATACGAACTTGCTAACCCTGGTCGATAATATTAACCAAGGAATAATTCCTACCTGCAGAACCATATAAGAAAAGAATCAAAAGCAATGTTCAAAACTTTATTTAAGATGATTTATATCGTTTACTAATCAAAGACCATCCAATTTTTGAAGGAAAATTTGTGAAAAACAAGTTCATTTGAGCAACATCAACAACATGCAATTTAACAATTAAAAGGCGGAATCATGTTTATATGCACTCAAAAACAAAACTTAACCCATGAACTTCAAAGCCTAATAGATAGGTGAACCAAGACTCAACTCAAAACAAAGTGAGTTAAGAAATCAATACCTTTGTAGATTCCTCTTTGCATAAGCAAAGGCTAATCACCCAAAGAGAGGGCCTTCATTCCTTGCATCTTAGATCCATGGATTTGTATGGATGAAAAGGTTTCTCCAAGTTCCCAAAATTGAGAACCTCTAAGTCTCCACACCAAGGTAAGATTGGAGAAGAAATGAGTGACCTTGAGGAAGTAAGATTGCTAGATGTTTTCCTCAAGGGTGGCCGGCCATTTCTAGAGAGAAAGGAGAGTTTTTGTTTTTCCAATTTCCCCAAAAACAACCCCTAATGAATTTTGGCTATTAAGTCACACTTATACCTTAATTCATTTGAGTGGCAAACTTGTAAATAAGTCCAAAACTCACTCTTTCTCTAAATGGCCGGCCTTAGGGTATTCATTGGGCTATTTGGGCATTTGTGAATCATTATTCATTAAGTTGTCACACAACTTAAGTCAATGGACTTGACGTTCGAAGCCCATTGGGCCTTAAGGTCCAAAACTATCCCGAGGTCTTTTAACGAACTTATTCGTTTGATTAATAATCATATTAATTAATCCTTGCCATAAATAATTAAACCATTTAATTATTCTTACTCATCTCCGTTGAATCTTCAATCTCTACCTTACACGGTGTACGATCCATTAGGTTCCTTTTAGCGAGGCAGTGGGCGATTCAAACTCTTTCAAATCGATTGTGAATTGAAATTTACTTTCAATTCTCCCGTTAGTGATAATACACTTTTAGGACTTCCACAAACCATGGTTGACGCCTAGCAGCATGTCATGGTTACCCAAGCTAATCAGAAGAGGTGGAGAACCTATTCAGTTTTAGGATTACAAATGCAATACGGTCTTTCTTTAATACAATACTCTTGACCACATTGTTTGGTTTGATAGTTTATTCATGTCTACTATCCAATGTGAATCTTGTACTTATATGATTACCTTGAATGTGATCGGGAACGCATTCCAACATCTCATTCATACTCTGGCCAGAGATTCTAAATCATATCATAAAGTATTCTCCCTCAAACAGTTTGAAGGTTAGAGATCCCTTGTTGCGCATTCACTTGCCTCCATGGCTAAGTGGCTTAACCCCGACGATGCCGTGGACACCCTGATAGAGTGACTTTGACATAATCAAAGATCAAGTACCTAACCACAAGACAGCTGTGATGCCTCAGGTCAAAGGACTACTTTGCATTATCCCAACCATGAGTTCTCATGTGACATGAATATGAAAACTCCTCGTTGATCGTGTTCAGTGAACTCATTCTCTATTGAGCACCTACATGCTTGTCTTGGTGTCACTCACACCAATGACTCGAGACTAGTCACTCTCCCTGAGAGAAGACATAGCACGTACTGATCTTAACGGACTGTCAATGCCCAATTGGCAATCCTATGATCAGGAACGTTTAGGATGTGTCTACGAAAGAATGGTCTCATAAATCTAAGTTCTTTAGATCGCATTCTCCCAATCACATATTCCTTGGACTTATCGTTTAAGCATATAACATTTATATGAGACGGCTCAAACAATAATGTTTGCCCTTAATATTAAACTAGATTAGTTTAACATGTGAAATGTCCATAAAGTATCATCATATGATTGGTTTTAGGGCACATTTCCAACAATCTCCCACTTGCACTAGAGCCAATCAGCTTAGTCATCAGTGATGATACCTCTTCTGTAGTCATTCCATAAATGGCTGAGTAGTAGGCCTAGACAATGGATATCTATATGTTATCCATAGAAGCAACCTTGAGAATAACGACGTCACCATTATACATGATTCTCAATCATGTGGTTCAGTCTCTCATTTGAGTTCGGACCTTGATGAGACCTTGATTCCCTGGCTTGAGCTATCGCCCCATTAGTGTCATACACTTTCTGGTTGGAACCGAATGGAGAGTTCATAAATGAACTTTCCCATCCAAACAACAATGTTGTAAGCTTCTATATGGCAATAAATTTTGCATACATGATGGAACACATTAAAGTCATTACTTTTAACGTTTCCACCCAAATATCTCTCTAGTCATAATAAAGAGATATCTCATTATCACTTCATTCATAATGAAGAGATATTCTATGATGGATTAGATTCATAATCTAATACATTTACGCTTCCATTACGTTACTCTAATTCTTCCTCATTCTTGAGGAATCCATCCTTAGTATTTCTTAAATACCTAAGGATTCACTTGACAGTTGCCATGGTTCTGATCCTGGGCTTGCACTGATATCATCTTGTACCGTTCTAGGTACAACTTATATCAATGTTTTCATACAATATGAAATACATAAATCACCTTTCTGCGTGTGCATAAAGGATTCTATTTACGCATTATTTCTTTGGGAGTCAAAGGGTACATTCCCTTTGAGAAGAACAACTTCCTAGTCTCACTAGAATTGTCATTCTAATTGAAGTTTATCATCATATGAGAAACTTCCTAGCATCTCTTGTCTATTTTAGGGATTGATATAATCCAATTATATCTTGAAATCTATCATTTATAGATTTCCATCCCATGTATATAGACTATGTCTCTCATATACATTCTATCATTATAGAATGTTTAAAGTCAAAACTTTAACGATGAAGAATTCCTTTCATTTTCAAAATTAATATATATCATGTATATATATTCAAATTTAGGAATATGATTAACTCCCACTAATCTTTTGTAAACCTAGTAAACAAAAGATTCATTTACATCTTTATGAGAAATCAAACGATTTGATCCTTTTTCTCATAAGATGCTTATAGCTCCCACTAACTTGCTGAGATTCATGATGGATGGATCTCTACAACTTATATGTCTTGTGATTCTTAGTTTTAGACATATATTATCAAGACTATCTTGATAATGGTTTCGGAAACCCATATTATGTCCAAACATTGAATCACCATTTAGTTGTTTCTAGCAATCTTCGAATTAATTGAAACTAAGACTATGTCAAAGACGGTTTCTTCAAAGTCAACCATTTTCTTTGAGTGTAGTCACCTTAAGCTACCGATTAGCTATTAAGGTTTCATTATTTCGATTCAAATGGTACTTTACCATTTCCTTGAGTATATGTCATATATATACACTCAGTGTAGTCATAAGGATTTTCATTCTTATTTCTTTCGAATTAAGAGGTGTAACTCTATGACATAGTCATAAAGTTCAAACCATTCAACTGAGACGATTTATAAATCCTTCTCAACTACCTTGGAGCTTGTGGTGTAGGAACTAGGTTGTTATTTTTGTTGATCATATCAAACAAATATTGCTTATTAGCACACAACCCCAAATCTTAACATGTTTAAGATTTGTCTTTCTTTCCAACTACATCTTATGGAGTTATGAAAATTTTGGAAGATCTTCTAATTGACAATCATATTGTTTTAGAAGTATATATATATCCTATATATGGGTAATAGATAACATCCAACGAACTAAATTTTATTCAAGTTCGTTCTTCTCCTAATGGAGAAATTCATTATCTTATGATGCTATTTTCCTTGATATCTTTCAAGGAAACTCATCTAAAGTGTTATCTTTCCTTGGATCAAATCCAAGGAGGTAAATACTTTAGACGTCTTACTCATCAACTCACATTTCTTGAATTCTTTGAAACATTTTGCAAAGTATTCGGACTTGTGTTTATTCAAAATAAACTATAGTCCAACCGAGAGTGATCTTCGGTAAATGTCATACAACATGAGTAGTATTATGTTGTGGATAAGAGCCACTAACATCTAAGTGAATTAATCTCAACAACTTTGTGATTCTTTCTTCTTTCCAAAAAGAATAAAGATTCGAACATTTCGCCTCTATACAATTTTAACAAGAAGGCATTGGATCCGGATCTAACGATCCAAAGCATCCATCTATTACCAACTCGTAATTTATGTTTTAGAGGTGTCACAACTCAGTTGGGATTAGTCACTCCCTTGCAACCTTTTGGGTTTTAAGCATCATCGTATTCTAAACAGTTAAACTACCACATCATCTCTACTATAGAGACAAACAATTAAATTACAATAATCTAATTATTGATTAATAAAGAACAATGTTTTGTCAAACAAAACATTTATCCATCTCTACTATAGTGACGGATTTAAGTTCCTTAAAATTGGAATGTAAAGACAATCTTTAGTATTTTCCAATTTCTTTGGTAGTTCATATGAGGAAGTAAGTACAATCCGCTTTTGCAGAGATCTATATTCGATTCACGTTTGGAATGTGAAGTACTTTCTCTTCTCTCATTAATCTTCTACTTCTTATTAGCACACTTTTACAACAATTGTAAAACATAGTTACTAATACAGAATCATGCATTCAAGTAGAAGATCCAACTGTTATGAACTTTTCAAGAACATTTTACAACACCTTCAAAAGGTGTGTTCTTGACACTTGCAAGACATTTCTTGCAAATACCCCTTCCAATGTCCATCCTTTCATAAAGAAAGTTTGTTCCCTTGGAGTTATTTTGCCTTCTTCATTTGACTTCCCTTTTGACTACAATAGTCATGGTCCCTAAACTCCCACTATCTCTCTTGAAACTTATTTCAAATGTGTTATACACATCAAACGATTTGGAGAGCGTGCGGTTATTGTTCACTATATAGTTTACAATAAACTTAGTGAACTATTAGGATAGGGACACAAAGGTGAAGTCCTTGCCTAGTTTCCGTCTCGTTAAGTGGTTTAACACTTCAACACTCAATGATTCAAAATCATCATAAGTCCATATAAATGGACTATTTTTGTCAACCAACCATTATGTTCTAAACATAATAACAAACTTTCAAGAGTTGTTCAAGGCAACTCTCATTTCTTCATACAACAATTTGTAAGTGAAGAATCATGGCACATAAAGTGTCCATGCCCTTGTGCTTACTTCTCAAGTTCCTTGTTCGTGTAACAAAGAGACAAGCACTAAAGTTTGTGTTGATTAAGGGTTATTCAAAGCAACTCTTATTTCTTCATACAACAATTTGTATTTGAAGAATTATGACATTAAAAGTGTTGTCCTTCTCATGTTAGACTCATCTAACATATTCTTTCAATGATACATTATCAATAGGAAGATTGTGAGGATGAGACTACTTAGTTACATCTACAAGCCATTAAAGACAATCTATGGGATTGTAGAACTAAGTCCGGAAATTAAAGCATTCGGCTTTTCTTTGTCAAGTTTTGGATAGCGTTTGCAAATATATTGGTAAACAAATACATAACGAATATAAATTGATTGATTTTAAGCCATTTGATTCGGGTCTTTAAATCAAATAGCACCACCCACTATTTTTGGCAAATTCCATATCCCTCATCGGAATTCGAGAGTTTTGTTGAACTCTTAGCAGGGTATGAGAGACTCACCATTACCAAGCACACCTCAGAATTATATCATTTTGGTTAGCAAAAATAATGATGAGAGAATAACACTTTAGTCATTTACAACTCTTGTAATTACCCATCTAGTTTGGCCTCTAGAGAATGAATGTCTCAGAATTATATCATGTTGGCACCATTGCACTTAGTTAAGTTATTCCCACCATGCTTAGTTTATGTAGAGGTTCAAGCACAACCTTAGAATTATATCATGTTGGTCATACTCGTTGTCTACACTCACCTCATCATATGTTTATGGACTCCTCCTGGATGTAAGCACATACTTTGTACTTTCCCATTATAGGGTGAAGCCGGTGCATGAGTCACAAACGATTGGAGCCCACCACGGTGGAAGGCCTACGAAGAGATATTCAAAGCATCTCTCGCTTATCAACTTAATAATGGTTTGTTGAGGGTTTTAGGTCTCATCACATATAAACATACATTTTAATCCAATTAAAACATTTTGGTCCTATTACAACTATTGGTCTATATGATTGATTTAGTAGTATATAATACTCCCACTATGTTTTTAAAAAGGTTTTTAAAGCAAGACTATATGGTACTACTAACATAAGATTTGCATTCATTGATGGACTATATAGTTGCCTTAGGGCCTTAGGATGACTATGAACCTTTGATTAGATCCAACACGAGCCTTGTGTTGAATCTCGGTCTAGGGATGGTGATTGATTTTAGTTACGCGTTTAATCACATTAAGGCGTGTTGTATTATTGGGCGTTGGACCCAACTACTCCAATTTCATGCATATCGAATAAAATAAGAAATGAGTACTTCAAAGTAAATAAGAGCCTATGCTCTTTTACAACAATTGATCAAATCAAATTACTTTAAAGTAAAGAAGAGCTTATGCTCTTTTACAACAATTGATCATATCAAATTACAACCAAAATTTAATTTACACATTCCCATGGTTCAAACAAATTTGAAACGGCCATTCACATAGCTCAATTATCGTAAGCTAAGGTTCATAATCACCTTTTCTTTAATTAATTAACGCTTTAACTAATTAAACTTGAATGCAACATTTTCATTTGGTTTTTGTATCCATAGAATTGATTTAAATGGAGCTAAATGAAATGAAAATCCAATTCTCATTTCAAGAGACAAAATAATTTTGTTCTCTACCTAATTTGGGCCAAAATGCTATGACCTCAACTTTTGGGCCATTTTGCAAAACTTAAACTTTTGGGGTCACTTTGTAAAAAACACAAAAGTCCACTACTTCATGTAATTACAACTAGAACCCAAAAATTTCCACAAAAGCTAAAACTTCATTAAAGGAGCAAAACAATTTGTCCTTTTAGTGATTTTGGACCTTTACGTAAAAACGTAAACTTTTGGGTCAAAGTACAAATACACAAAAGTATCAAAACTTTATGTAATTGCATAAAAGCCCCACAAGGACCCTAATTGAGTAGGGTGGCCGGCCATTGAAGCAAAGTATTAAAAAAATTTTCAAAGTTTTTTTAAGTGGGGTGTGTGAAATGGAATAAATCATTACACACCTACCCACTAAAATTTCTTTAATTTTTCAAAATAAATATCTAATATATTTAAACATAAGAAATATTTCAAAACAAAAACTTTATGAAATAAATCAAAATTTTGAATCAAAACACCAAACCTTTTGTTCTTGGCAAGAACATATCAAGAACAATGAAGAACATCCATGAAAACCCATAAGAGCTCCATGAACATTCTTCACCCAAAAACATACCAAAACCACTCAAACTTAAGGGAAATAACATACAACCATACTAGGGTACATAGGGGTTCCAAAAGTCACTTTAAAACACTTTTAACAAGTCAAACAAGAACCCAAAATTCCACCATTTGGATTTGGCCGAATTTCCCCAAAAACATGGCACCAAATTTTAGCTCCAAAATTCATGCTCATATGAACTACATCTACAACATTTGAGATGTCAAATTTTCTAACAAAATTTACATTCAAAGAAGCAAGAATAAAGCTTGTAACAATTACAACATTCAAATCACAAACTCTGAACTACAAAACCCAAAAGGATTCACCAACTACTAGACTTAGGCTCTTGATACCACTTGAAGGAAAATTTGTGAAAAACAAGTTCATTTGAGCAACATCAACAACATGCAATTTAACAATTAAAAGGCGGAATCATGTTTATATGCACTCAAAAACAAAACTTAACCCATGAACTTCAAAGCCTAGTAGATAGGTGAACCAAGACTCAACTCAAAACAAAGTGAGTTGAGAAATCAATACCTTTATAGATTCCTCTTTGCATAAGCAAAGGCTAATCACCCAAAGAGAGGGCCTTCATTCCTTGCATCTTAGATCCATGGATTTGTATGGATGAAAAGGTTTCTTCAAGTTCCCAAAATTGAGAACCTCTAAGTCTCCACACCAAGGTAAGATTGGAGAAGAAATGAGTGACCTTGAGGAAGTAAGATTGCTAGATGTTTTCCTCAAGGGTGGCCGGCCATTTCTAGAGAGAAAGGAGAGTTTTTGTTTTTCCAATTTCCCCAAAAACAACCCCTAATGAATTTTGGCTATTAAGTCACACTTATACCTTAATTCATTTGAGTGGCAAACTTGTAAATAAGTCCAAAACTCACTCTTTCTCTAAATGGACGGCCTTAGGGTATTCATTGGGCTATTTGGGCCTTTGTGAATCATTATTCATTAAGTTGTCACACAACTTAAGTCAATGGACTTGACGTTCGAAGCCCATTGGGCCTTAAGGTCCAAAACTATCCCGAGGTCTTTTAACGAACTTATTCGTTTGATTAATAATCATATTAATTAATCCTTGCCATAAATAATTAAACCATTTAATTATTCTTACTCATCTCCGTTGAATCTTCAATCTCTACCTTACACGGTGTACGATCCATTAGGTTCCTTTTAGCGAGGTAGTGGGCGATGCAAACTCTTTCAAATCGATTGTGAATTGAAATTTACTTTCAATTCTCCCGTTAGTGATAATACACTTTTAGGGCTTCCACAAACCATGGTTGACGCCTAGCAGCATGTCATGGTTACCCAAGCTAATCAGAAGAGGTGGAGAACCTATTCAGTTTTAGGATTACAAATGCAATACGGTCTTTCTCTAATACAATACTCTTGACCACATTGTTTGGTTTGATAGTTTATTCATGTCTACTATCCAATGTGAATCTTGTACTTATATGATTACCTTGAATGTGATCTGGAACGCATTCCAACATCTCATTGATACTCTGGCCAGAGATTCTAAATCATATCATAGAGTATTCTCCCTCAAACAGTTTGAAGATTAGAGATCCCTTGTTGCGCATTCACTTGTCTCCATGGCTAAGTGGCTTAACCCCGACGATGCCGTAGACACCCTGATAGAGTGACTTTGACATAATCAAAGATCAAGTACCTAACCACAAGACAGCTGTGATGCCTCAGGTCAAATGACTACTTTGCATTATCCCAACCATGAATTCTCATGTGACATGAATATGAAAACTCCTCATTGATCGTGTTCAGTGAACTCATTCTCTATTGAGCACCTACATGCTTGTCTTGGTGTCACTCACACCAATGACTCGAGACTAGTCACTCTCCCTGAGAGAAGACATAGCACGTACTGATCTTAACGGACTGTCAATGCCCAATTGGCAATCCTATGATCAGGAACGTTTAGGATGTGTCTACGAAAGAATGGTCTCATGAATCTAACTTCTTTAGATCGCATTCTCCTAATCACATATTCCTTGGACTTATCGTTTAAGCATATAACATTTATATGAGACGGCTCAAACAATAATGTTTGCCCTTAATATTAAACTAGATTAGTTTAACATGTGAAATGTCCATAAAGTATCATCATATGATTGGTTTTAGGGCACATTTCCAACAATTTTTTTCTGACTCAATATAAGTAATATGCGAACATCAGCAGTGTACAAGCGAAAGTAACGGTGTACCCGGTATTGTTTAGATCATTTAGTTGCTTAACAATCAAAAGTAGTCCCAACTTTATTTACCATAACATTTTCGTTTACAACTCCTCCAGCCCTCCATGGTATAACATTCCCTGCACAGCAACAAGATATTCTAATCAGAACTTCTATCAATTTATAGATTTTACTGTCTCAATACTCAATTTAAATATAGCCAAACAGAAAGAAGAGGGGACTCGGCAAGTATATATATTCGGAACAAGAATGCATTACCAAAGGGTTGCACAAGTTGTTGCGATACGGAGGCAACAGGAACCCTCCAAAACCAGCAAACCAGCACAATATATGTTAAGACATAAATGTACTACCAAATATATCATTAAGAACCCTTGTTCAGAAACACCGAGAACTACCTTTAAGATGAACAAAATTCTCAGATAAAAGTCATATGAAAGTTTTATCTCCTTGCCATGTAACTCTTGATCTGGCAGGCAGGTAATACTGTTAGAATCTTTCGTCTTGTGGGTCAGGACTCAGGCTTACCTAAGTACCAGTACGTACAACCAACTCATATAACTAAACAAGATTCTTATAATTGAAAAGAAATTAAACTAATGGTCGAAAACAAAATGGTTATTGTAAATACATGGAAATAATATGGCATTGAACAACTGCATAGACTTTATTAGCCATTCAACCCTTCGCTTAAAAACATCGTAGCTGTAAAGTGTATATGTTACTATACAAACACAACTTTGATCCCAAGCATATTGCATATAGTTATCCTCTGTGACGATATATAGATATATATACATGTGCCTCAGGAATGCAGGCATGTAATTGTATATGAGATCAGAATAAAAACATAATTGAAAGGATGGAATTGCAAACTAGTACAATTTGCAAGTTCTTTCTCCTTAGCAGCTGCAATCCTCCGAAGTTTCGCAGCTTGCTTAAATTTCAACTTCCTGGATTCAAACAAAACGAAGATCATACAACTGCTAAGAATCCAAACTATCACCTGCTACTGTAAAGCTAAAACAATGGGTAGCTGCAACTTGCAAGCATCAAAACAATGCTGCCTTAGACCCACCTCCAACTGCGGTTTCAAGGGCAACGTCAGCCTTCGAGCAGTTGGTGGCTAGTGGTAGGAGTTGGACGCGCTCTAAAATCACGACTCCTCTGTCCTCCCTGAGCCCTCCACCAAGATAATGGATTCAAATTTCTTGTGGATTGTAATTTTGTTTTGAACTTCGCCATCAGAAACTGCTTGATGCTAAAAACTGAGGCTACATTGAGGTAAATACAATCATGGAAATTGATTCGCTTCTAAATTAAATAGAGTTCAAGAAAATTTTGTTGCATATTTCTGATTTTTTCACTGACTTACAGCTCCATCAGTTTGAGACTCTCTCCAAATCGAGCTTATTGAAAAGTTCATTTTCAACTATTCACTTTGAAATTAGACTTAGTCCTTTACGTCACAGTTTTTTATTCGTTTCAGGATTCCATGTCCAAAATCAAAATTTTATTTCGATCTATTGGTAGCGTGTATGGATAGTTTTGCTTTGGTTGATCATAAGTCATGCGCTTTTCACTTGAAAATTCATCCAGTACAGCCAGACAACGGCTTTTCAGGTAATGTACAGCATACCTACTGCCAAAGGTGCTGCAGAAACCCTGAAATTCAACATGACTCCGATCCTCTTCCATGTTTGAAGGCATGCAATCATGTGACTTCGCAAGAACCGTTCAATCAGCTCAATCATTCCGTTTAATGACAACATAAACTCCTGCAGAGTAAGTTAGATCCTAGCTTAGTTGTGATGGTAGAACACTGTCGCAGTTTTGGTACGCAGACCACTTGTTCATTATTGTGTATGCATTGCTCATTTTTTATTTAGGGCCTTGATGGTTTTTCAATGCTCATCAGAAAAGTGAATAACTAGGGGTTTTTTTATTTGAGAAGGAAATCTAGATCATTGAAGGAGACCGTTGTAAGCAGGAACCAGGAGGACCATCAAACGGTTTAAAACTGTTTAATTTGATGTATTTTCACGCTATTGTTGTATCAATTCATTGCTGACGCCTATGCAAAGCATCAAATTCATTCCCCCAGTGTTGGAAAAGAGAGATTTTCAGTGTATCAGAATCACAGCCCAATACACCAAGTTTTGTACCAATTATATTATGATGTTTAGTGTATTGGACCCGTATTTCCACCTATTGAAAAGGTTCTAGGCCAGACCAGTGGCATAACCAGGATTTTTAAATAATGGGATCATGATTTCGACAAATAAAACTGCACTAGACCATTTCGTTGAGCACCTAGTAAAGATGTAAAGACATAAGCTTTATTGGTTCTAAGTTCCATTCAAGGTTTTGATATAAAGGCCCCCAACCAATGTTGTAACCAAGATTTTCAAATAATGGAGTCATGATTTCGACCAAAAAAAAAAAAAACTGCAATGTACTATTTCATTGAGCACCTAGTAAAAATACGCCAATTATTGCCAACATCTGCTTAAGGCTTATGCCAACATATGTCAACAATTACTATGATACGTAGAGGCTTGTCAAAGTTGACTACAAGAAACTGTAGAGTAATGTTGAAGACTACAAAAGCTTGTCAACTGACACATTTCATTCGAGCATTTCGTGCACACAACAGAGTCGAACACAATAAGAGAGAAAAGGAAGACAAGATAGAAAAAAATAGAGGAACAAGTAGGAGAATGCGGTTGTAATTTAGTTTGCCCTAGCTGTTTACAAGGTCAAATAAAATACACATGCAAATATATATCAGGTTTTAAAGTTGTTGGGGTCATGAACAACCAATGACCCCATGCTGGCTCTGCCACTGGGCCAGACACTCTTATATTTCTCTCTCAATACGAGTAATGATATTCATACCATGTTTTGTACCATATTTCTATACCACCTTAGGTGGCATCTGACGTGGACAGTCACATCATTTGAAAAAGTTGCAAAACCCAAGGAAATAAATGAGAAAGACTCCTCGTATACCACAATTATCATTTAATTAACTATTTTTTCTTAATTATTAATTTATTAAATAATGAACTAAATTTAAAATTTGATTAATTCAAATGATGTAGATGTCCACATCAGATATCACTTAAGATAGTACAAAAATATGATACAAAAACATAATATAAATAACATTATTACCTCTCAATACTCTCTAGCGCACAAATACGACGAAGTCAGAGGTTGGCTTCCTCTCGGAAAGATCCTGACCTTATTTGTTTTACATGATTTGTTTGGGGTAGACTTTTCTCGCACCACATGGGAGGAGACTCGTCTACTTCTTCCTCTCTTATATGGCTGCTGCATATGCTTTTACACGGCTGTGTGGTGGTAACTGGTATTGATAGTTTTAGTCTCCCACTTGCGACTTCTTTTATTCACCTTTCGTGGTGAGTTGGTGATCCTTACTTCACACACTTGACAGAGTCATCAGCCAGCTGTTTGGTGGACTGCTTGAGATTGAACTTTAGAATTGGATTGGATTGGTAGGAATGAGTTACATAATCCATGTATGTAGTTGGGTTAACCTATAATATTTTCTCTTATTTTGAATTTGTAGCCAATTTAGTCGATATTACAATTTTTCTCACCAAACATTGGCTCGGCTACAAGTCCAATATCTATTAATTAATAAAACTCTCTTAATCAACTAAAAGAGGGTGAAAATACTACTCAGTCTTCTATCACACAAAAAAATGATGGCCAATAATGTAATTTCATAAGTCCAAATTTTATTGTTTTTTATTGAAACCTCACCTACAGGTGATGTTAAAATACCTCCAATATTAAAATAAAAAAACCCAAAAACAAAAACCTCCAACTCCCCCCCCCCCACGGTTCTCTCTCTCCCTCTCTCATTCTCATTTTCTAAAAAAATATGTTCATACACACAAAGTATGTAGGCAAATGCTAGTTTAATTAGAAATAACATATATTATGCTGCCCACCAAACGGGCCGTGAATTAAGAAATGCCATCTTGATTTATACAATAAAACTATATTAATTACCAACTTGTAAATATAACACACACACAAAAAAAAAATTCATATTTAAATATACGAAATGGAACCTCGACGAAATTGCTATCCCTAAAAGTCAACGTTGGAAACTGGATTTGATTAATAAAGCTCTTCGGAAGATGTTGATGGAGATGATCCATCCTCTCAAAGATTGCAAGCAACTTCGGATACTTGCAAAGGCAGGCCAAAGGCTCAGTTTGTCCAAGTACGTGTAAAGAAAAATCAGAATGGATACCTCCAATTCGACTGGTCAGATTGAGAGTGCTGCTGCATTACCATTAGCATCCCCTGGTGTCGATTGCCAGGCTACTCAGCTAGCAGATCAGACCAAGGAGGAACCTACAAAGGGCATAGATCTGGATGTTTTCAACGCTGCGAAACAAGGCAACGTCGATGCCCTAAGGGAACACGGAGAGCATCTTGACCTAAAACTCACTGCAACGAAAAACACAGTGCTCCATATTTACATAGCGTGCTCAAGCAGCCCAACGTTCAACGAATCCGAGAAACAAGTACTCGAGTCAACCAACATCGTGGAGGATATCCTTAAAACTTGTCCAGCACTGCTGTTGCAGCAGAATGAGAGTGGTGAGACTGCGTTACACATTGCCGCGAGACACGGGCGTGCTGGAATAGTTGGAGCTCTAATCCGAGCTGCAAAAGCTCGTCAAGACGACCTCGAGAAAGGGGTGTTATCGGAAGAAGCATGGAAGATGCTCATAAGGGCAACCAACAACGGCAAGGACACGGCCTTGCACGAGGCGGTTCGATTTAATCACTTTGCAGTGGTGGAGATATTGACAAGAGATGATCCAGAGTGTCTGTACACCGCTAATGGTGATGGCGAGACTCCAATTTACATGGCTGTCGAGAGGGGATATTGTGATTTAGTTTATAAGATGATGATGACTTGCAAAAATCCCGTTTACAAAGGCCCTAATGGCAGAACAGCTTTGCATGCTGCAGTCACAATCAATGGCATAGGTACCTATACATATATAATATGGAGATAGACATATTTTTACTGTTTCCGATCCTTTATTTTTATATAGTATGATGACCTAACGATCTCATAATTTATTAATTTTTTCATATATGATCTTTTTATAGTAAATTAGAATAAAACGGATTCAATTATAAGCAAAAAATTTGGTGAGTCAATAACAAACTGCTATTTCTTTAATCTAATTGTATCTTTTGGTGGTTTTATCTTCAAGAAATGACGAACGAATTGTTGAAGTACACTGAAAAGGCTTTGACGAAAGAAGTAGACGAAAAGGGATGGACTCCGCTACACTACGCTGCATCCATGGGTCACACTTCAATTGTGAAGTCCTTACTAGCAGCTGATAAATCCGCCGCCTACATCGGTGACAATGAGAAGGTTACACCTCTTCACGTTGCAGCACTCGGAGGCCATGCAGACGTAATGAAAGAGCTTATTGCTTGTTGCCCTGATTGTTGCGAACTGGTGGACAGGCGCCGTCGCAACGCTCTTCACTTTTGCAGTAAGAAGCGTCATCATCAAGTAGAGCAACTTGTGAGACAAGATCCATGGCTTAGCAACGTCCTTTTGAATGGCAAAGACGAAGACGGGAACACACCCCTCCATCTTATGGCTTACGCTTGGTACAACAACGCTGGGTTCATACGTGATGCTAGGGTTGATAAGATGACATTCAACAAGGAAAATCTCAACGCTCTTAACATCGTTCAAGCTTTGCCTTATTCAGAACAACAAGTATGTAAAGTACATCATTCCCCTTGTGATATGAGTGGTTAAGATCCTTTGTTTACCAATACAACATTACAACTATGTGTTGCAGATATATCTTCAAAGCACATTGAAAGAGATGGTGCCATACCAGGTCATCGGATTTCAAGCAACAAGGATGGTGGCAGCAGCACAGTCGAGGATAACATAGGCGGCAGCCAAGTAGAGAAAAACAGAGGTGTTGGCATCGAAGTGAAGGAAGGAAGAGACTCCCATCTGGTTGTGGCTACACTTATAGCAACTGTAACGTTCGCAGCTGGTTTCACCATGCCTGGTGGTTATCAAGCCGAAAAAGGACCAGACCAGGGCTTCGCAGTTCTATCCAGAAATGCAGCTTTCAAAGCTTTTGTGATAACAAATACAATAGCCATGGCTATGTCTAGTTGTTCTGTCATGGTGCTCCTTTTTTGCAGGAATTACACAAGTCTGAGCGGAAAATTGCAGAAAAATTTCCACAATGCATTATCCTTTACATTGTTCGCCTTAATGGCAATGGTGGTTGCATTCATTACCGGCACATATGTGGTACTGAGTGGTCGTTCGCCAGGACTTGCCGTCGCTACTTGTGTGCTAGGATGTCCTTTTCTTCTTTGCCTTAGCTAAATCCATGAATATTCCGGTCGTCAAGATACTACTATTAGATGTGCCAAGAATAATGTTCCGGCATAAATTTCCTCGTTCTTTTTTATTCAAGTACATGAGATGCATATTACCACGGGATTACCCGCATCATACTTTCAATGCGATATGAACAAAACTGGCACAGCGCTCAATTACTTAAGAGCGTTCAGGGTCACTTGTACTAGAGAATAAATAATATTTGTCGTACCTTTCTTCTCGTTTGTGAGTTTGAGTTCGCATTGAAGTCTTGAGCTCCAAGTATCATATTTCTTCATTTTCTCTTGGATCCACTCTTAATTCCATCATGGGCATGGTAGCCAGTGATCGCATAGGCATTTGATTACCAAACACAAAAAGCATTACATTATTTTGCTGGATTTTAATAAGTAACTTCGAGGAATGGGTTTTCAAGAGGTTAGTTTTTTAGGATAAACAATAAACTCAATTTACACAGACAACCAAAAGAGTAATGCACATCACTGATACAAATTAAATGAGCAGGTAACAATCCTAAGTTCATGACTAAAGATATCGTGAAGCAATAGTCAAAACAAAACCACGTTAACATGTGTATGAAAACTTGACAGGACAGAAATCATCTAACCTCTAGAACTTCGCAAGTCGACGTACAAACTTGCTAACCCTGGTAGATAATATCAACCAAGGAATAATTCCTACCTGCAGAACCACATAAGACAGAATCAGAAGCAATGTTCAAAACTTTATTTAAGATGATTTATATCGCATGCAAATCAAAGACCATCTCTGTTCTTTCTGACCCAAGATAAGTAATATGCAAACATCAGCAGCGTTCAACACACGAAAGTAACAGTGTACCTAGTGTTGTGTACATCATTTAGTTGCTTACAAGAACACAATATGGCACCTAAACGATATGAGAATTAACAATCAAAAGTAATCCCAACTTTATTTACCATAACATTTTCGTTTACAACTCCCCTAGCCCTCCATGATATCACCTTCCCTGCACAGCAACAAGATATACAAATCAGAACTTCTATTATTTTATAGATTTTACTGTCTCAATGCTCAATCTAAAAATAGCCAAACAGAAAGAAGAGGGGACTCGGGCAGTATACTCAGAACAAGAACACGTTACCAAAGGGTTGCACAAGTTGTTGCGATATGGACGCAACAGGAACCCTCCAAAACCAGCAAACCAGCACAACATATGTTAAGACCTAAATGGACAACCAAATATATCTATTAAGAACCCTTGTTCAGAAATAATTTATTTTCTATCAGAAAAAGCTAATAAAGACTCTCAAAATCTAAAACACTAAGAACTACCTTTAAGATGAACAAAATTCTCAGACTACACGTCGTATGAGAGTTTTATCTCCTTGCCATGTAACTCTTGATCTGGAAGGCAGGTACTACTGTTAGAATCTTTCATCCTGGGGGGTCAGGCTACCTAAGTACCCATTACGTACAATCAACTCATAATAACCACACAAGAATCTTATGATTGAAAATAAAATAAATTAATGGTAAAAAATGGTTGTTGTAAATACATGGAAATAATATGGCATTGAACAACTGCATAAACTTTATTAGCCATTCAACCCTTCGCTTAAAAACATCATAGCTGTAAAGTGTATGTGTTACCATACAAACGCAACGTCGATCCAAGGATGTTGCACATAAATACCCTCTGCGACGACATATAGATACGTATATGTGTTTCAAGAATGCAGGTATGTAATTATATATACTATCAGTATAAAAATATAATTGGAAGGATAGAGTTGCAAACTAGTGCAATTTGCAAGTTCCTTCTCCTTAGCAGCTGCAATCCTCCGAAGTTTTACAGCTTGCGCAAAAGTCGACGGCCTGGATTCAAACAAAACGAAGATCACACAACTGCTAAGAATCCAAACTATCGCCAACTACTGTAAAGCTAAAACAATGCGTAGCTGCAACTTGCAAGCATCAAAACAATTCTGCCAATCCAAAAAAATAAAATTCCATTTTGAAAAATTGGGGAAAATTATGATTGACCAATAAAAATCACTCACTGCGACAAGGAGCTTGCCTCCTCCCTGCCAACACAAAAAATAACCCAAAATATAGTTTTAATTTCACAATAATTGCAGTTAAAGCATCAAACAAATGATTAAGAGCTTAAATTCGCACCAAATTACGGGTAAATTGTTTGAATGCAAGTGAAAAATCGTTGAGCAAATTACCCTCTTTAACTGCTCTAGCCACCTGGAGAAGAATTCGAAAGCGACGGCGATAACGAATACAATCGGAGCTGCTAACGAGCTCCGGAGCTCCGGTAGGGTTTCTATTACCTCTCCCATGTCTGGTTGTTTCCCTTGCTCCGGTGCTTCGTACGAAACACCACCTTCATTTCGGATTTTTTTACCGGGTCAGTTGCTAGAGACCCAAGTCCAAGAGTCTATTCAATAGGGAATTTGGGTGATTTTAGTTCTTTTAATGAATTTAAGGGTATTCAATTAAAATTTTAAATAATTCTTTCAAATTCAATGCTTATTTAACTAGGATTTTAAGATAGTTTATTAAAATTCATAAATATAATGTATTTAATTAGAATTTTAAAGAAGTTTAAAGAAATTTATAACATTTCAGGTGTATTCAATTAAAATTTGATTTTAAATCATTTCAAAAAGTTGAGAAATTTGAGAGAATTTGAGAGATTTTGCATTGTATTTTAAGCATTTATAAATCTCTCATCTCCCCATGAGATTTTAAGGAAACTGAATCAAAATTTAATCTTTACAAATCAATTAAATTCCATAAAAATACATTAATTTATAAATTCATTAAAATCTTTTCAATTCCTAATTAAATACATCTCCTAAAACTCCATTGGCGCTGGGTATTGGGTAACCCCGATTTAATTGGGCGTGTTGGGGATGAATTGTTCGACAATGTTCCAAAAAAGCAAAAAGCCCAATTTTGCCCATATCTGATAAATTCGTGAGTTTTTAGTTCTTGTAGTTGATTTTCTGTTAATACTCTACGTAAAAATAATAAGGAAAATAAGTGGCAGAGATTCAAAATAAGAGATTTGAACATTTATGATAATTAAATCTAATAGCTAAATAGTTGTAAAATTAAGTAAAACATAGTATTCAAGCCGAAATTTCAATTTTGTTGGCTGTATTTTTAGTTGTATCAAATTTGATCATTTAGTTTTCTAGTTGTTGGAATATGAGAGCAGTTCCACCGTGGGCAATAGCCTGATGGATTGGCTTTCAAACAGGGCTAGATAGCCCGAGTAAGGTGGTCCAGCATGTGCTGGCGAGGGAGCTCGAGGCTCAAGGGAGAGGTCCGGCCCGAGAGCCTGAAGGCAATGTGACAGAAGGCTGACATCAGAGCGACATCAACCACAATATAAAATTAATAAAAATAAAAAATATTAATAAAAATGTAAAAAAATAATTAAAAAATGTAAAACCCAGCAGACTTCAAACTCAACGGCTCTCGTCGGAGTTCGTCGCCGAGGCTGATGATACACCCGTAGACAAATGGTAGAGATCCAGTCCTTCTTCCGTCGTAGCTGCTGCCGCACCCCCACATAACCTTCGCCCCCACGCACTCGCGATCCCCCTCTTTCCACTCGTGCACCCAGATCACACGATTTAGGATTTGTTTTTTAGGGGGGAGAGAGAGAGAGAGAGAGAGAGAGAGAGTGTGGGGAAGATCGGGACCGTTGATGGAGGCTGAGCTGGGTGGGATGGTGAAGATGGAGGAAGAGAGGTGGCGGTGGGGTGGTGAAGGAAGGTTTGGGTGCGTTGGGGAGGGGACATGGGTTGATGGGAAGTTTCCACGCGGAGGGGAAGAAGGATATGGGTGTGGGTGGTTTTTTTGGTTTTTGTTTTAAATATTTAATTTTTTAATAGAAAGTGGTACAACGAGACCGATTAAAAATCCTATCCGAAATTACAAATTTATATTATTTAAAAAAATACTAATATTTTATTACCTATTGTCAGGGCTATTCATTGTAGGGGTGGATATGCAAAAAACAGTTACCGTTCATTAAGGGTAGTAGTACTGTTCATTACGTGTAGTTACTGTTCACTGGGGGTGAATTAAATAGTGAATAGCCATAGGGAGCTTTAGCAATGGTGGAGTTGCTCTGAGAATACCCATAACATCGGTAGTTTGTTGTGGAAATTATCATGTTTGTGCCACATATGAGAGTAAACTTGACATATTTCATATAATCATTCTAAAGAGTTATTTATTAAAATTCCTAAAAATTCTAATTGAATACATTTTTATATCAAATTTGATATATTAAAAAAAAAATATTTAGTACTAGGGTTTATCGTTATTCCTCTTCACTTGTAAGTAAGAGATCTTATGTTCAATTATAACAAAATGTAAATTTAAAGCACATTATTGTAATGTTTAGTACTGGGTTGGTACTGAGGTGCTTTTATAAAAAGTAGATATAAAAAAAAGCTGAGCTCAAAAATGTGTTTGGTAAACACTTAAAAATAGCTTATTTTTATAGTTTTGGGTGAAAAAATTCTAAAAACGTGAATCAGCAAAAATGAGCTTATTCTCACAGCATAGCAAAATCAATTTTTTTTAAAGCATATCAATACCAAACCAGCTCGCCTACTCCTCAATCATTTTAGTTTAGATAATATCTTTTGTTAAAACCAAAATTCAAAAGAAAAAAATATATAAATTGTTTTTAGCAAACCAATTGACATATTTACCCCCAAAGCAGTTCAGAAGTATCGTGCACCAAATTTTACCCCAACCCCAACAACCATCTAGACGCGCCCAAACCCCAAATTTGTAATTTCGCCAATAATATCCGCACGTGCCAACCATGACCCACGCACACATCCTCCAACGAACAGTAATTTCGCCCTTTTCCCACCGGTTTCCAGTGTACCGCCTGCGGAAATAGAACAAAGAAACACAAGGAAGCACAAGCGAGGTCCAAGCAAATACACCCCAACCAATCGACCCCCATGACGCGGATGCATGACGTGGCACAATTATTTTGAAATCCCGCCCAAACCCGGACTTCAATCCTTCCAATAAATCAAAATTTAATTTTCCGCCTTTTTTTTCATTTTTATTTTTGCGCCACGGGCCTTCCCTTCCTGTCCCTTCACACCCGAGGGGCAAATTTTACACACTCGCACACCGCACCAAACAAAGCAAACGACCCCGAGGCATATCCCTCTCATTGTTCTCTCTCTCGCCTTATCCTCTCCCTTCACCAAAGGTAAGCTCGCCCCCCGACTCGGACCGAGTCTCTTCGTTTTCCGCCGATTCCGAACGATACACGTCGTTTTTCGCCGCTTCCGAGCGATTCCCGTCGTTTTTTGTCATTTCTGAACGATTTTAATCATTGTTTGCCGTTTCTCAACGACTCTCATCGGTTTTTTTGCGGTTTTGTGTGCAGGTTTAGCTGAACATGGGGAAATCAAGAGCTGCTGCTCCCAAAAAAGCTGATGCGAAGTGAGCTTCCGTTTTCGTTTTCCGTTTTTCTGTGAATTTTCTTCGATTTGATCGGAGATCTCGATGTGAAAGTCGATTTTGAATTTATGTTGATTTTTTGTGTTATTTTTTTATTTTGTTAGGTTGAAGACCAAAAGCGCTGGCGCTAGCAAGAAGGCTGCAAAGGATCCGAACAAGCCTAAGAGGCCAGCGAGTGCCTTCTTCGTTTTCATGTACGTTCAACGCTCTATTTCTCTCTCCCTATCTCTCTTTCTTCAGATCGATCGTTTCTTACTGTGATTTATTTATTTTTTATCATATTTGTATGAATTTTTCTTTCAAATTTATGTAGGGAGGATTTCAGAGTGAAATTCAAGAAGGATCATCCTAATAACAAATCCGTTGCCACTGTAAGCGAATTTCATCTTCTCAGATCTGTGTTTTTAACTTCGTTTTGCTGAATAATTTTTTATTTAATTTTACAAAATTATATTTATTCTGATTTTTGATAAATTTGAATAGGTCGGTAAAGCTGGTGGTGATAAATGGAAATCACTTTCAGAGGCCGTGAGTATTTCTCCCAATAAATTTTGTTTATCAATTTGTGAATTGCTTGAATATTCCGTAACTGTTCGTTGACTGGTTGCTTAATTGTATAAATTATTCAGGAGAAAGCTCCCTACATTGCCAAGGCAGACAAGAGGAAGGCTGAGTACACCAAGACCATGAATGCTTACAACAAGCGCATAGTGAGTGCCCTTGTTTTGATTTCTGAGTTTTCGGTTTAATTGATTCGAGTAGTGTTGTGAGAATTGCTGCTTAATTGTGAAATTAGGCTGAGGGAGGTAACGGAGCGGATGATGAAGAGTCTGATAAGTCCAAGTCTGAGGTGCAAAACGAGGATGAAGATGATGATGAGAGCGGAGAGGTTTGTTCTAATTGGCTCTTGTTGTTGTGTTGGTCGACTGTCTCTTCTTAGTTTCGTGATTAGTTTATTGAATTGGGTTGATTGTTGTGATTGAATTGTGTTGTTTTGGGTTAATTGTAGGAAGAAGATGATGACGAGTAGAGAAGGAAAGTCAGGTATCGGAATGAAGGAGGAGCAATTTGTGTTAGGGTTGTTGGTTAGAAGATATTTTATGACCTGCATTTTCTGACTAAAGCTCTGTGTCTGATGATAAGATAGCCACATTTGTAGGATTAGGGAAGGAAAAAGAAAAACTCAAGGGGTTAATGTTTCGGGACTCATCCACCTGATTCCCCGTATCGTTTCTGTACTTAATGATCGTTTTTATGTTCAAATGACTTCTATTTCGCTCTAGTTAATATCCTTTTTATTATATGATCGGATTAAATTGCCTTGAGCATTTTGAAATGGGAATGACCTTTAGAGATGAACTTACCTAGAACATGGTTATCACGTTGTTCGTATTTTGAGCTAGTAAGAGAAGTGTGATTAGCTTGGAGTACCGGCGGCCACTGATCGTGGTTTAGGAAAGTTCTCTAGTTTTTGTGGCCACTGTCTGGCTTAAATTAGTTTCAGGCTTCCAAATACTTGGGAGTGAGAATGGGTTTGTCTGCTTTTGGGTTTAAGATTCTGTACCGTTCTTCTCAGTTCTCTGCATCTTGTTTTATGTGATGATGATGGTTTGACTTCAATCTGTGTCTTTCGCTTTTGACTTTCTCCTACTGGCTCCTTTGGATTGCTTTTGGGATTTTCCGCCTGTCAGTATTTTAGCATGGCATGAATGTCATCCTGAGATTTTTTATTGTTGGATACTAGGTTACGTAATTACGATCTAAGGGCCAAATTTCTTGGTACATATAGTGCACCGAAGTTAGTAGAATTTTTCATATTTTAAGATGGGACTAGATTTGGTTTCATTTTCGGGATTTCGGGACCTGGAGTGTTAAAAACTGCTGCTACTTATTAATTTTCATTTTCGGGAAAAGGATTCTGCC